TGGGAGGAGGGGCCGCGATTGGCTCTGGGAGCCTCTGGTTGTGTGTAAAAGCCGGGCGGGGGAGTGGCTGGGAGTCCTGGCCCCTGCCCTGCCCCACCCGGCTTTTGCACGTGACCACAGGGCTGCCAGCGCCAATCCCTGCCCCTGCCCCTGCCTCCCAGTCGCTCCCCCGCCCCGCCAGGCTTCCGTCCGGTGTGGAATTCAGAAAATACGGGACATTGCACGTGTCCGGTATTTTCTGAATTTTTCTACCAGACAGACGGTGCAAATACCGGACACCTGGCAACTCTGTGGATGGTTTGGGGCGACTGACTGGGAGAAGTGAGACACAACGGCCTGGGAGGGCCAGAATCCCACTGGTATGGGGGGTTGTGGCAATCCCTGCTGCTGCCCCACGCCAAGCCCCAGAGTGATCCCCGGGGCCACGTTGCTTGGGGGAGGGGCCAAAGGGGTGATGCAAGGGCGGGAAGGGGTGTGGCAGGAGTGCAGCAGGTTTGAGGCTTAGGGAAGAGACAGAGTGGGGGGAGCAGGGGAGAGGCGGGGCCTGCGGTGGGATGGTTGCCTCAGGCCCTGCACCCCCTTAGGGACAGCCCTGGGGGTGGGCTGGGACCTAGGCTCCCCCAACCCTAGGTTCACCACCGAGGGCACCTCAACTCCACAGTGAGCAGTGACTCTCCTCCAGTGTGTAACACAGAATCCTGGAATCCTAGAACACTAGAATGGGAGGGGACCTCAAGAGCTCATCAAGTCCAGTCCCCTGCCCTCACGGCAGGACCAAGCACTGTCTAGAAGAGATCATAAAGCTTATTAGTTACCAGAACTCAGAGCAGAGCTCACTAGCACAGAAAGCAGGAGCATTTAATAAAGTCCATCTTGGGAGAAAGGAGCCCAGAGACAGAGACCTGGTCCTTCCCCAGAGCCCCAAACCAGCAGAGACTCACCTGCTTCCAGCTGCCATACTTGCCTCTCTCCTCATCTTTGTCTTGCTTTCCAAGCAAAGTCTCAGGTTACAATGGGCACGGTAGGTGCAAGCAGCTAGAACCACCTCAACTTCCGCATGAGTGTCAGCAAAGTCACACCTCTTTTTCCCCACCACCTAGGCACTGGTGTAATACACAGGGAAACTGAAGTACACAGAGTATGCATTCCAAACAGTAAGGCATAGGCTCACATAAAACACAAGGGCTGTGTCTAGACTGGCATGATTTTCCACAAATGCTTTTAACTGAAAAGTTTTTCCATTAAAAGCATTTGCGGAAAAGAGCGTCTAGATTGGCACGGACGCTTTTGTGCAAAAGCACTTTTTGCGGAAAAGCATCCGTGCCAATCTAGATGCAGTTTTGCTCAAGAAAGCCCCCCGATCGCCATTTTCGCCATCGGGGCTTTTTTGCGCAAAACAGTTTTTAGCTGTCTACACTGGCCCTCTTGCGCAAATACATTTGCGCAAGAGGGCTTTTTCCCGAATGGGAGCAGCATAGTATTTGTGCAAGAACACTGACAATCTTACATTAGATCGTCAGTGTTCTTGCGCAAATTCAAGCGGCCAGTGCAGACAGCTGGCAAGTTTTTCCGCAAAAGCAAGTGCTTTTGCGGAAAAACTTGCCAGTCTAGATGCAACCAAGGGAGAAAGCCCCATTTCATCACATCCTACACATAGACAGCCATTTCCTATGTCCTTGTTTTGAAATTGTCAGAAGAAATGTGAGTCCTGGTTTAACGGTCTCTGCTTGCTTCCATCTGTCAGAGGCTCTTTCTAACAATTCTCTTAAAAGAAACCTTAATCTGGATTTGTCTTGCTTAGCGGATTCAAATGACAAGGCTCAGAAAATCACTTCAGACATGAAGAATACAGAACACTGACTGATTCCAAAATAAAAGGAAAGCCAAACATAGTATATCAACTTGCCCTTCTGCAGCCGCTTCCCTCCAGAGAGTGCAAATCGCTTTATAGACATCCTTGAATCAAGTTTAAAGTTTGTTGGTTTCATGGCTAGAAAAATTAAGTCATGACAAAAAAGCCTTCGCAATCTGAGTTGAAATAGACCCCACGTCACAGTCGTAATGTTTTTGCCAAGTATATTGTACTTTAAAATACAGGCAGTCCCCGAGTTACGCGGATCTGACTTATGTCGGATCCGCAGTTACGAACAGGGCCGTTCCTCTCCCTGGTCTCCAGCAGACCAGGGAGAGGAAGCAAAGCGACGGAACACGTGGGCAGCGGACAGGGCTGTCCGCTGCCCACGCGCTCCGAGGCTTGGCTCTGCTTTGCCCCCTCCCCCGTCCTCCTGGTCTGCAGACCGGGGGGGGGGAGGCAAAGCAGAGCAAAGCAGAGCCAAGCCGCGGAGCGCGTGGGCAGCGGACAACCCTGTCCGCTGCCCACGTGTTCCACCGCTTTGCTTCCTCTCCCTGGTCTGCTGGAGACCAGGGAGAGGAACGGCCCCATTCGTAACTGCGGATCCGACATAAGTCGGATCCGTGTAACTCGGGGACTGCCTGTACTTTAATAGTAG